TATTTTGTATATATGGTTATAATATATTTTGTATATATATTGTAGGATTAGATTTAAGCTCATTATGTTCCTATATATATGTGTACATGTCTTTTGAATAATATAGAACATATATTTTTCCCACTTTCTTACAGGGGCATAGCTCCAAATACCGCGGTTGGCTACCTAAAAAAATTTTACAGTATATATCAAGCTTAATCAAATAATTCAATAGTAATCCAAAATAACAAACACACTTAAATGATAGTTGGATAAGTCAGTCAGTAAGTATCCACGATATTTTGAGTCGAGATATCTCTATTTTTACTTGAACTAAAATCATGAGCAATCCACTTTGTCCTTAAACGATAACTGATGGAATGGAATGAATAAAAGTAGAAAACATCGTACTACTATTTTCTATATTGATTTTTTATAGATTGCTTCGTGATTCCGCAATCCACTTTGGTGTCATTACTGCTTGGACTCATTTGCACCAAATTATAACCGGTCGGTTTAATTAGTAGTATATATTTAGTACACCACGTTAGTCTCGCATAATATTTTTATTTTCGTATAAATGATATCATCATAATATTTTGGTTAATAATTTCATATATTTATCATTGTTTTTAAATTCCTAAGGTTTAGACCCATCGTCCAAGTGGGTTGTTTGAATCGAGTAGTAGATCCGGTCAAACACGGTCAAAATCTAATCAACCCGAGTATTAACATAGTCGTGTCAACTCGCAGTACAAAAAAGTTGATATATTCCAACGGAAAATCCTACGGTAATATATTCCAATAGAAATTTCAATGGATATTTTAATGGTATAATTTCTTTTGGAATGATTCCAACACTAATTCCAACGAAAATATTCCGTTGTAATGAGTTTTTCAATAGAACTTTAGATGTAATTTGATGATTCGACGACTATTTTTCCAACGGACTTTTATCACATGAATTTTCGTTTGGAATTTTTATTTCCACCTCCATTGGAAAATTTACAGTTGGAATTGTAAAAATCCACTGGAAATTCCAATGAAAAACTCATTCTAACGAAATATTTTTGTCAGAATTTCCATTGGAATCCATTAAATATATTTCCATTAAAATTTTTCATTGAAATTTCATCATTTTTTGTAGTGTCGGTTTGATCAGACAATTAAATATTTTTTTTATCTTTTCATTTTTAAAATAAAATTATGCATATATATTTATTCGGTAAGTATTTATGACAAAATACAATATTATTAGCACCTTCTAGGTATAAAATTTTACATATAAATAATTTATTTCATTAATTACTCGATTCATCAATTAATCCAGTGACTCGACAGTTAGACCAGTGATCTAGCGATCGGGAGTGCAGCTAGAGTCAAGATATAAATGTAAGAGTTGTTTATTTTAAAATTTGATGTAAAGTATAAAGCGATGTATTAATGTATAAAGTAACAAATTATGCATATTTTTAAAATAATTATATATGGTTGTCATGAGTATTTGTAATTTGAAAATATATACATTAAAAAGCTATAATTATACAAATGTAAAAGGTTTTTATTTTCTTAATTATTTTCAAACTTCTTTCTAATGCGCATTATTATTATCTTTATAATTTAAAAAGACACTCTATAGGGCCTAGTGTTATTAGAGTAGAATTAAAACGTTTGAATAACTCATTTAATTAAACTTATAAATAGATTGATTTTTTCCCCCACCTTTCCCCATATGATTTTTCTAGTCATAAGTCGAATTCCAGTTTTATCCCTCAAAAGTCAAAAACATATTCTCCAAATTTTTAATTCAGACATATTCTAACTCGTGAAACAAACCATTAGGAATGGCACCCTATGACCATGACCTCTTGTCGTCTTCTCTCACCTTGTCCGACCTCTCCAACGCCGCCCCGCCGCCGCCCGCCGCTGCCGGCAGCCTCCACCCGACCGACTCCGATCTGTCGAGCCTCGCCTCACTCAGCTCGAACCTCGGGCAACTGGTTTCGGCTGCCGAGTTCAACGACTACAGCGACGCCGAGATCGTGGCCGATGGCATCCCCGTCGGCGTCCTACGTGGCGTCCTGGCCGCGAGGAGCCCCTTCTTCCACGAGCTTTTCCAGAAGGATCGCGTGGGCCCCACCAATACCACGGAGCGGAAGTACCTGCTTTCCGATCTGGTGCCTGGCGGGACCGTGGGTTACGACGCGTTTTTGACGGTCTTGATTTACTTGTACACGGGCCGGGTCAGGCCCGCCCCTCCCGATGCTTCCACGTGCGTCGACGAGACGTGCCGCCACGACTCGTGCGTGCCGGCAGTCGAATATCACGTTCAGCTGTTGTACGCTTGTGCCGCTTTTCGGATCAACGACCTCATGGATTTCGTTGAGGTGATTTTTACTCGTTTTTTTTTTCCCCCTTACATTTGAAAAGATTAATGAATATATATCAGCATGTCATTTCATGGGAGTATTTGTAGACCACAATCCGTACAAGTGATTGTCACGAGGATTTGATTTTACTAGTGACTGCACTGCAGTTACCGAGATTTCTAGGTGAAAAAAACCATAAAATTCCAACAGTATATACTGCAAGCCATTTATCTCTAACATTTCAAAAACAACCATTAAAAGCATTCGTAAAATTTACACACACACGTCTGACTTCCCCTCTTTTTCAGCGACGCCTTCAATATTTCGCAAACCAAGTTCTCGTGGAAGACATGATCCGAATCGTGAAGGCCGCAATCCACTGCGGCTCGACCCGCCTCGTCTCCCACTGTGTCCACCGGATCGCGCTTGTCGACATCGACGACGTCATCGTGGACCGGACCCTCCCGGCCGATATTGCCACCCGGATCAAAACCATCCGCGCAGAGTCCGATTACGAACAAGAGCACGACTCGTCTCAAGTGAAGCTCCTCCACTGCCTCAACCGCAAGGTCAACAAGAGGATCTATCGAGCCCTAGACTCGGACGACGTCCAACTCGTGAAGCTCCTGCTAGACGAGTCGAACCTCACCCTCGACGAGACCTACGCCCTTCACTACGCGGCCGCGTTCTGCAGCCCCAAGGTGTTTGACGAGGTCCGGTCCCTCGGAAAGGCAAATTTGAACATTCGAAACGCGAGGGGCTACACGGTTCTTCACATAGCCGCCAAGCAGAGGGACCCGTCCATTGCGCTGAGGGTTCTCGAGCACGGTGGGTGCCCGATGGTGCGCACGTGGGACGGGAGGACGGCAGCCGCGATGCGGAGGAGAATAACCCGGCCCAAGGACTTTTACAGCGCAACGGGGCCCGGGAAAAAGACCAATACGGACCGGCTTTGTATAGAGGTTTTGGAAAGGGAGATGCGCGGCGGGAGCCCATGGAACGGGACCGTGCCGGAGAAGGAATCGGCTATGGTGGCGGCACATGATCTTCGCATGAGCCTCCTACTTCTTGAGAACAAAGGTAACAGATTCGGATTAGATGAGTATTGGTCAAAACTTCATTTACAACAAGTGAACACTAACGTAATTGCTTTATTATATTTAATACATTAATTATTACATTTACTGTAATGATACAAATCACAAATCTCACCCAGAAGGGTTAATTATAAGAAAACATAAAAAGTTTATCTAAATGATGGTTCGATTTGGCAGTGGCAATGGCGCGATATTTGTTTCCCGAGGAAGCAAGATTAGCTATGCACATAGCACGTGCAGATACGACCTCGGAGTTTTCGGGGCTTTCGACATCAACAGGAAGCTCGTCCGGCAACTCTAGGGACGTTGATTCATATGAAATACCACCCGAGCAAGTCAATAGGCTCCAGCAGAGACTGCAGGCCCTGCAAAAAGCCGGTAGCTCCTCCTGTTTCGATTCTTTACTCCTTCAATATGACTGAAGCTTAAACATGAAGTGTACTTGTTCATTTCCAACTCTTAATTTTTGGTGAATTTATTAGTGGAAGCAAGTCGCCGGTTTTTCCCCAACTGCGCAGATGTTGTGGATAAGTTGTTGGAGGACGACACGTTAGGCGACCTCTTGTTGGAAAAAGGCAGCCCCGAGGAGCAGAGAACGAAAAGAGTGAGGTACATGGAACTCAAGGCTGACTTAATGAAAGCATTCGATAAAGATATGGCGGTGAACAAGCGTCAAGCTTCTTCTTATCGGGCTTCCTTGTCGGGTTCGAGATCCTTAAAATGATAGCTTTACCATGGAAGGATTCTTATTACTTTTGGAAAGCTTGTGTTTTTTTTGGCAATTAGCAGAAGACTTTCAGAATTCTGTTTTAATAAAAGTGAATGCTTAGGTTCCTTGTTTTGCATGATAAAGTATTGTACTCTTCGGAATAATTCAATGTTGATCGGAATAAAAGAACATTAGATGTCACTTGTCAGCTAGATGCTCGCCCATCTATATGGGATCCTCTATATATACCTTGCCATTAAAATAAACAAAACAGTTAAAGGGAATGTAATAAAAAACAAAATGTAAATATTTAATTAAATAAGAGCCTTTGGTCAATATAAATTAAAATTTTGTTTTAATTGAAAAGATTAGGTCTCAATCATAGTTTATTCAATGTATACCACCCCACACAATTACAATGCAATTATCGATTTTTTTTTCTCATCCTTGAATGAACACGCAGTGCAGCACAAGTATCAGAATTTTCAAAATTAGATAAACATACAATGGGTTTTCTTTACCCAAATCATCGAGTTTTTTTTATCGTTGGATCAACACATACAACAAGAAAGTTATCGAGTTTTTCACAATTAAATCAACAACAGATGTTTTACTTTTGGTGCAATATTTTACTATTGGTGCACACTGTGTGTTGGTGTAAAACCAATTAAAGGTTATGTTTGGTAAAACTAGTCTATAAACACTAATTTTTGAGTTTATAGCGTATAACTTATGACTTACAGTTTAAAAACTAACTTATATAATCAAAAAGTGTTTGGTAAAATTAACTGATAAGCTAGCTGGAATAAAAATTTCAACGAGTATATTTGAAAAACTACCTAATGAAGCTTATCAAATATGGTCGAACTTTTTAAGAAAGTTCGTCATACCAAACGAAGTTTACTTGAATACAAGAGCTTATAAGTTAATCAAATAAGTTATAAGCTAGTTTATTTGCCTACCGTACTTAGTCTTCGTTTGTTTGGAGTGAAATCTACCCATACTTTACTCCATTACTTGGTGAAAAGTTTAGAATAATATCACTATCACATGCTAGTAGCCAATATAAAAATCCTTTTTGTCCGGTCCGAGGTATATAGTCATCCTTAATAATTGGTGTTTAGGGGGGGAAAAAAAAAAGTAGAAAAGCTACTTTGAATATTTTATAACTTCATATATATATTATATATATATATATATTCTATTCACATTCAATGTATACAAAAATGCATTATATTACTCAAATTGAAATTCAATTTTACAAATATGAATTGGACAAATAGACTTAAAAATGCAGTACTTTTTCAAAATTCTGGCTCAATAATCATATCAATTTTATGAAGTATTCCACCTTACACATAACCACAATATAACTTGCACATAAATGTAGTGTAATTATCGATTTTTTTTTTTTATCATTAAATCAAAACACAGTTGCAGTATATTATAGTCATCTAATTTTTCATCGTTGATTTTTCACCGCGGGATTAAACACGCAATGTAAATTGACGCAGCTATGAAAAACCCAAACTGCAATTACGTTTAGGGTAAAATTAATGCTGTTAAATTAAACAA